GAAGGGGAGAAGGGAGAAGAACGTGAGAAAGGAATGGAGACGAAAAAGCCGCTTTCAATCAATTTCTCTTTTATTGAAGCAGTAAGTACTTATTAGTAATGTATATATGCTAAACCCGTGGGAATAAGTCATTGTCTTAAAAACAATGGGGTGCATACATAAGTAATGAAATTGAATGCATAATTAATGTATGGGGTTATATGGTACTCTTTCCACGTGAAGTCCCAAGATTGACTCAACGAATTTACACAACATTTATTTAACTTACGGTAAGGTTCACAATCGTTTTGGTATTAAATGTAACTGTTACAAGCGACCAAAAGCGAAAGCCCAGAATTTGAGGCCATCTTTAACAAATTAACTCGTTGGATAAGAATTATGCTACGTTAGACCTTCAAATACACTTCGTCAGACACTCACTCGATTTCAAATCCAGATAAGCGATGATTTCATAATAATTTGCGAGGGTTGTCGAGAAAGCTGTGAAGTATAGGGCTTTTATTTACGTCACATTGAATCACAAAGTCCAGCCTTCTCGATCGTCCTTTAGTCTATCGACAAAATGAGCCTTAATTTCCTTGTCGTTGTCTTTTGTTTAGTCACCGAGAAACCAAAATGATGAAATTGTTTATGTTTGACCGGGCAAAACTGTCCATAGCAATATTTTCGACAATAACAGTAATTTTAAGAAATCCGCCAAAAGTGAAAATGCTTCCACTTGCGCCGTCGACATATGAGAAAGTATGTTCATCGCCATCCGATTGATTGAAACCCGTGATAAAGCGCTCGCCCTTGTGTTTGGTATTACTTCTCGATTTCTGTGCTCTGCAGGACACAGGTTTTTTTTATAATTCAGAGAAAGAGCCTTTAACGATAATACTTCTTCCTAGCAACGACGTAGACCACTTTCATAAATGGCTGCCGGATTAATATTCTTTTGTTTAAATTGAAATTAGCCTTTCTGGTCTCGTTGTCCAGTGCAAAATTCAAAAGAAGACATTATCTCAAGCGAGGCCAGAAAGGCTAATTTAAATTTAAAGAAAAGAGTATTAATCCGGCAGCCATTTACGAATAATTTAACGAATGCGGCCATCGTACCGGCATGTACTAAATCCAGGAACCCTGGAACACCGGTACAACAACATTTATTTATACCACAAAGAAATAAGATTAGAAACATTAAGAAACTATATATTTAGTGCCTGCTTCTAGCTTCCAAGCTCTTTCGTGTTATGTTGGTAAACAAATTACATCTACATTTTATTTTTTTACACCATCAAATTCGGTATTCCAGGGGTATTCCGGTGTTCCTGGTTTTAGTACATGCCCGTCGTACCAGACATCGCTACGAGCTAGGTTGTATTTGTGCGCGCTAATAATTTTGCAATATTACTTCAACTTCTTAGTTAGCCCTTATATGATGTAAGTTTCACATGATTTCATTCACAACAACTGAAATCACATAGCAAAAATCACGCGGCAAATATCACTCTTCGCTATTCGCAGACTGATCATAATCTTTGTGATGTCAACATGTTATGTTTCGTTTCACGTTCCATTATTGAAACGCTGCATATAACTTCCAATTCCCTTTCGCTCTTTGCCGTACACTGCTACATTTTGGCTTTCATTTGATGTAAGTTTCACACGAGAGGCATGAACAGGAACTAGTTTTGGAAGCTATTCCATCCATGTGTGCCAGCCTTTACTCAAACTTGCTTGTGCAGTCATAAATTATTTCTAGTTATCAGGTCTGAGATCACTGCATCATCTTTGCAAGAAATATATTGCCATGAGAAGAACCATGAATGTATGTGTAACTGTACTGCATAATATTAAGGTGATAATGCAAAGTGATACAGGTCAATCCTGGATACCTAGGGACAAAGCCTATACCCTTACATCAATTATGATGACAGAGTGGCTGGCACTGGAGTGAAATTAAAACAGGAATACAAAAGTCATGTAAAACAAAACAAAATGAAAAAGTCACACTTGCAAAACAATAAGTGTCAGAGAGGTCCTCTTGGGTCCTGATCAAAGACTTCAAGCCCTGAATTCTCTGGTGGAAGGGGGTCCTTTCATGCAATTGAATCTTTTATTACATCCATTTTGAAATCACTGGTGGTCCCTGTAATCTTATTGGCTCTAATTGGTGCAATTTATTCACGAATCACACCATTTTTTGCTCTAAATGGCATCGTTTTACGCTTGACTGAGTTTTTGACACACGATGTCAAAGTCTTTCTGTTTTGCATACAAAATAAGATGTAAAAGCATTTCTGGTTCTGCTTTTATTTAAAAACTGGCTCAGTACTGCATCAATAAAATATTTGAATTGACCAAGTCCTGTATTTGGGCGATTTCAAAATGGATGTAATAAAGTGGTATTTGAACCTCGTGTCGTGCAATTTTGGTCTGAAATCATACTTGTGATTTTGAAATCACACATGATTTCAGCCCAAATTGCAATCCACTCAGTTCAATAACCATTATAAATAGCTGCTGCTAAGTAGCCCATTTCCAAGCTCTCGCATGTTTGGACACTTATCAGTGGTGAATTACAGCAAAAGAGCAGGCTCCATGAAATGTAATCCAATGTGAATGCCACTCCTGAGAGAAATGTTGATTGACAAATATTTTTTTTAAAACTGAAGGTTGGTAATCTGAAAAGGTCAAGGAGTGGAGGAAAAGACAAGAGGAAGGCATAGTAAGTCAATTTTTGTTAAAGTAAGGCAACAGTGAAATAAGCCAAGCGAGAGTTGAAGGAAGAAACTTCCTGGGATAACCAAATCAGGGCTTGAGATTGTGACCAATACCTATGCCAATGCAGCTAACATTTTCTTGTGGGCAACTGTATTATTTTGTGTGTGTGTGTGTGTGTGTGTGTGTGTGTGTGTGTGTGTGTGTGTTTTGAATTATAGTTAAATAGATCAAGCTCAAAAGAACCTCATATTGTATAGTTTTACTTCAGCCCAGAAATACCCTTTTTAATGCGGATGCAGAATTCCAAGTAGTTACATTTCAATCATCCATTGTAGAAAAGGGAAATTTTTAATACTTACCAAGGCACACTGATGATTGACAAAGGAAAATTCATTCATGACAACCATTTTTTCCACTTAGGTACCAAAAGTCAATTAACCATTTTTTTTTTAATTTCTGCCCTGCTAATCCATGCCAAATGGCAATCGTTGGGATTCATGCTACTGATATTGTAATTTGAACAAACAAAGGCATAATTGACGAGGAGTTGTGGCTGTTAATGTTGCAAAAGTTTTTTTGCCATGTCAATACTTCTTCTTATTTCAACATTGGCAATCCTCATTAATGAAAATTATAATACAAATGAAATCTTACTTTTTACCTATAGTGGTATGACATGGAAAGAAGATTTGCTCTCTCACCCATTCAGTCACACTAACTCACTTTCTTCATTCTTTAATCTTTTAGACAGTTGATTTATGCATTGAAACTTGAATTAGATCCATCTTCCCCGCACCCTTACTAGGTTTGCATTTCTTCCAAAAGTCATGCTATTGTCTTCTGTTAAATGACTTGGGTAGTGCAAAGGCCAAAATTTTTGCCTGAGTACTTGAAGTTATCAACATAATTCAAAATGGCATCTGTTGTCATACCATATGCTAAACTCATTAAGGTTTGCTCCATTCTTGATCAAAATACAGTTTCGTAGACCTTAGAAATGGAGTAGACACACAAAAGATTATATCCAAATGAAAAGAAAAAAGCTTAAAAGGCTTCAAATCCACCAAGACAACAGTGCCAATGATGCATAAGGAAATATAACACATGTCTAAAACATAGTGCCCTTATGAAAAACAATATGCACTAAAAACATTTACCAGATGAGGGTAATTTTTACCCGAATTGACCAATCAGAGTGCTTTGTTTGTTTCAGTTTCCCGCCGGGTAAAGTTTACCCTAGTGGGGTAAACTTACCATTAGCAATTCGCTCGTTAGAGCCCTTCTATGGGCTGTATCGACGCAAAATAATTACATTCTTTCGATTGTGCCTTCTTAGAATCGAATTTCGCGATTTGGAGTTGAAAAAGGTGCAAAACCGATCAGCTTATATCTAGGATGGCGCGCTTTTGGATTTGTCGGGATTCGAAAATTGACACTCCTTTGTTTGCAAAGTCATGTTTGTTTTACCTTTATGATAAAATATTGTTGACATGAAGGTGTTTTATTGACAGGTTTTAGGTGACAAGNTTACCGTATTTCTTCACCTATAAGCCGAGCGATTTTTTCAGTTTTCGACCCAAAATTTTGGGAGATTTTTCACGGAGAACGGGGTTCGGCTTATAGCCGAGGGTTTTACATTTTAAAAATATACAGTTGCTGAATAACTTTACCCCCCCGGCTTGTAGTCAAGTTAGCAATGAAGCAGAAGTAATAAAACACAACAAAAATAACTTCTGAATATTGGTTATTCACTTTTATGAAATTGGTGGCTCCTAAAGGAGCCGTTTGACGGATACGTGCAAGGGCTTTCAACCCAATGGTTTACTCGCCATCCGTTTCGTTTTCGCTGTCTGTGTCGAACTCGTTCTCTTCTATGTATTCATCATCTACTTCTGGGGTTTCCTCAGAGTAGACCACGTCGTCCTCTGTTCCGTCCAAGGCATTGGAAATACCGCAGGTCTTGAAGGATTTGACAACCATCTCTTCGGGTATCTCTGCCCATGCTTCCTTGATCCACCTGAGGACAAGATTTCTGCTTGGCGCCTTCTTCTTCCCAGCTGGGGTAAACTCAAATGGCCCAGATGTCATCCACGCCAAGTACTTTCGGCGCACATTATCTTTAAATGGCTTGTTTAGGCACTTATCCAAGGGCTGTACAACCGGGGTTAGGCCACCAGGGATAACTGCGACGTCAATGTTTCGCTGCTTCAGGTCATCTTTCACGGAATCGGTCAAGTGAGCTCGGAATGAGTCCCACACCAAAAGGGAACGCTCGGCACGGGGCAAACTCTGTCGAATCCATTCTCGGATGCCCTGTTCATCCATCCACCCTTTCTTATGGAAGGAAACACGAAGAGGATGCGGCACAACCAGATCTCTCGGTGTACGGACGCCTTTGAAGATGACTTTCGGTGGCACCTTTGCTCCATCGGCAGCAACAGCAAGAACGACGGTGAAGCTCCGCTTTTCCGCTCCGCAAGATTTTACTGGCACTGTTCGGCTTCCACTGAATTCCAGTGTTCGGTTCGATGGCAGCTCAAAACGCATGGGTGTCTCATCCATGTTGTAGATGCGGGATAAAGGGTAGTCGGCGCGTCTTCTTGCTGCAATGACGAAGCGATGAAAGCACACAATGTTCTCTTCGAGATCGGCGGGCAATCGCTGGGCCAGAGTTGTTTTGGTTCGCATGCTGACCGAGTGGCGTCGTTTCCATTTCTCGTACCATCCACGGGAAGCTTTGAAAGCAGGATCATCGGAGAGCTCTTTAGCTTTAAGGCGAAGGATCAATCCACTCACCGCAATACCTACGAAAAATAAAATAACAATCTTATTTTGCTGCGAGATAACCGTAGATTCGTGACTGCAGCACTCTTTTCGTGACATGTTATGAAATTGTCATGACAACAACATATTTCTGACCAATCAAAGTCTCTGTTTCCCACGCACTGAAAGACGATATCATTCAACTCTTCAAAAACTCTTAAAATTTTAGACAGAAAAGTAAATACCAACCTTGTTCTCTTTGCTGTGAAAACCACTCCATCACTTGCTGGTCTAGTTCGGGATATTTCGGAGTGAAACGGCCCATCGTCGCACGTTTTGCAGACATCTTCAGCTCTCCGGAAAGAATAGTCGCCTGGTCTCTTCTCCAGCGTCGTACCATGGACTCGCTTAGTCCATATTCTCGAGCGATTTCCGAGTTGTTTTCTACCGCTTCAGCTTCCGCGATAACTTTTATCTTGAAAGCCATACTATACGAGGAACGGCGTGCTTTAGGCATGATGATAAAAAGTGACAGCGACGAAAGGTATACTCGATAGATTGATACTTTGAAACGTTTAACTGAGATTATTATTGTTGTTGTGGTTAATCTGTTGTCGCGTGGTAGTATTTATACAGTTCGTTGGATCAATTGATATTCATATCTCTTGATTGGTTCGCTTTTTTTCTTTTGTGTTTATTGTAATTCATTAGGTTTTGTGTTTAGTGAGTCAATTTCTTATGTTTTCCGTGAGGTTCGCTTGCTCAAATGGCCAGTTACAATCAATAATTTCGCTCTCGGCTTATAGCCGATGGTTTTACCTTTTTTTTTGGGCAGCTTGAGTGTAGCGTAAAGACCCTGAAAGTCAGGGTCTCGGCTTATAGCCGAGATCGGCTTATAGGTGAAGAAATACAATTTTTGTTAAAGTAAGGCAACAGTGAAATAAGCCAAGCGAGAGTTGAAGGAAGAAACTTCCTGGGATAACCAAATCAGGGCTTGAGATTGTGACCAATACCTATGCCAATGCAGCTAACATTTTCTTGTGGGCAACTGTATTATTTTGTGTGTGTGTGTGTGTGTGTGTGTGTGTGTGTGTGTGTGTGTGTTTTGAATTATAGTTAAATAGATCAAGCTCAAAAGAACCTCATATTGTATAGTTTTACTTCAGCCCAGAAATACCCTTTTTAATGCGGATGCAGAATTCCAAGTAGTTACATTTCAATCATCCATTGTAGAAAAGGGAAATTTTTAATACTTACCAAGGCACACTGATGATTGACAAAGGAAAATTCATTCATGACAACCATTTTTTCCACTTAGGTACCAAAAGTCAATTAACCATTTTTTTTTTAATTTCTGCCCTGCTAATCCATGCCAAATGGCAATCGTTGGGATTCATGCTACTGATATTGTAATTTGAACAAACAAAGGCATAATTGACGAGGAGTTGTGGCTGTTAATGTTGCAAAAGTTTTTTTGCCATGTCAATACTTCTTCTTATTTCAACATTGGCAATCCTCATTAATGAAAATTATAATACAAATGAAATCTTACTTTTTACCTATAGTGGTATGACATGGAAAGAAGATTTGCTCTCTCACCCATTCAGTCACACTAACTCACTTTCTTCATTCTTTAATCTTTTAGACAGTTGATTTATGCATTGAAACTTGAATTAGATCCATCTTCCCCGCACCCTTACTAGGTTTGCATTTCTTCCAAAAGTCATGCTATTGTCTTCTGTTAAATGACTTGGGTAGTGCAAAGGCCAAAATTTTTGCCTGAGTACTTGAAGTTATCAACATAATTCAAAATGGCATCTGTTGTCATACCATATGCTAAACTCATTAAGGTTTGCTCCATTCTTGATCAAAATACAGTTTCGTAGACCTTAGAAATGGAGTAGACACACAAAAGATTATATCCAAATGAAAAGAAAAAAGCTTAAAAGGCTTCAAATCCACCAAGACAACAGTGCCAATGATGCATAAGGAAATATAACACATGTCTAAAACATAGTGCCCTTATGAAAAACAATATGCACTAAAAACATTTACCAGATGAGGGTAATTTTTACCCGAATTGACCAATCAGAGTGCTTTGTTTGTCTCAGTTTACCGCCGGGTAAAGTTTACCCTAGTGGGGTAAACTTACCATTAGCAATTCGCTCGTTAGAGCCCTTCTATGGGCTGTATCGACGCAAAATAATTACATTCTTTCGATTGTGCCTTCTTAGAATCGAA